CCGCACCCACAAAAGACCCATTGTGGAGAGTGGAGAACGGCCACTTCTTATGTAGGACCGTCTCAGAAAACCTATCACCGTCTTTGCTTGTGAAATTCTCGCTGAAGACCACAAGACTAAATACAATTAACATTTTTTCCCCAAGCCACCAAGTAAAGACATTTTAAAAAATATTTATATGTTAATTAGATTTTTTAGATTCTTGCATTAAAACCAGCTTTACTTAAAAAGACACCAGAAACTCTTTTCCTGTCTGAAATATTTATATTCTGTCCATTTAAAATTTTATTTTAGTTCATGGAACTGTTTCAGTCCGTAGCCATTGTTCTGTCCAGGGGTTTATTTAAACAACTCTTAACTATTTCTTCAGGGTTAATGGTAGTTGGAGCGCAGAACTCCTTACAACTCAGTCTTTAGATTCAGAAGACAAGTGTGCACTTTGGAAAAATTCCTGAGAATACCTGAAGAAAAACAATGAAGATTTACAAGGAAGTGGCAGGGGATAAATGGAGGTTTTGTCATTTTAGGGTAGTTGGTGTCTAAGTAATTTCGCTCGGCCTATTTGTCACTTTTTCAAATGCCAATAATTACATCCAGCCACCAGTGGAAAAATACAATCCGTGCAAGCAGACCAGTAAGTGTGCCACGCAAACAAGGGCGTTCTCGGCCAGTGCGCACAAAGGACCCAGATTGCAAAGTGGATACCGGGGGCATTAGTCCAACAGAAGCACTCAGGCTATTACATCACCCTTTGAACATCAGCATGTTTGGGATTCTCCAAAATAAAATCATAAAAACAGTTTCTTACCTGAACTCAGAAAAACCTCGCAATCTTCCATCTAAAAGTCTCCTATATGTTAGTTTTGTCTGTCTCTGTTATTGATTTTAGTATTGTCACTGCTAAGGAGCCATGGTAGCACAGTAGGTTAACTGTTGGGCTGCTAGCCACCAGGCCAACAGTTCAACCCCACCAGCCGTTCCATGGGAGAAAGACGAGGCAGACGACTTCAGTTAAGATGTACAGTCTCAGAAGTCCTCAGGAGCGGTCCTGTATGGTCATGTCAGAATCAACTGGTCAGCAGTGGGTATTATAACTAATAATGAAAGAGGGCACAGTTTCAGCATGTTCTTCTGAATGTCAAGTGAAAATTAAATTATAACATCTATATATGGAACTAATGAGCTTAAGAAATATGTCGTGTAGTGTCATGAAATTTACAGAGTAAGTTCAAAGAGCTGTGAAGGATGTTTTCACTTCTTAATCACAAAAGAACAATTGAAGAAAGTACCTTTAAGTACAGCTCACGACTGCTCAGTGGCTGTATTGAATATCTACTGATGACTTTACAGGTGATGCGCCAGGTCTAGGGCATGCTCCCACCGAGGGGTACTCACGTGGAGACAGGAACGCCTGAGGGCAGCAGAGGAGCCCGTCTGGAAGAGGGTGTGTTTACATGGATGCCCCAGAAAGTGTCCGATGTTTAGGTACCAAATGCTGCCAGAATGGATATGGCAACAAGACGCATCAACATTTCTGGAACTTTTCCAATTCCAAATAGTCTATATGCTGTCTTCATAAACTGCACAATGTCCCAGATTTTCAAATAGTTTCATCATTCAATTATATATTCAGATCGTCTCTTGTAAGCATAAGTAGAAACATTCTTTGACAGACCATGGATACTGTTTATGTCTGGAGAATATCACCACATTTGGGGTGGGGGTGGGGGGGAGAGTGGCATTTATATGACACCCACTAAGTATCTAGAATACTTTCTCTCTGTGATACTATATCTAGATAATTCATGCTCATCATTTAGGTTTAATAGAAATATCAGGAAACGTCCATGGACACCCTGCCCCCACCCCATAAAAAATAAAAACAAAACAAAATTCACTGCCATTAAGTTGACAACGCCTACTAACTCTATAGGGCAGACCAGAACTGCTCCTTTAGGTGTCTGAGATTTCTGAGCCTGACAGGAGCAGACAGCCTTAGCCTGGTCCTGTATAACTCAGCTGGTGAGTTCAACTGCTGATCTCATGGGTCAGCAGATCAATGCATATAGCTCACTGTGCCACCATGGTTCCTTCCCACTAGGTTGGGTTATATACTTACATTTCAAAGTACTGGTCCAATTATAATTAATTGGGTGGATGATTTTATAAAGATGTGTCTTCCCACTATACCACAGGCTCCAGCAGGTCAGAGGCTGCATTAGCCCTGCTCCGCACTGTGCTTGCAGCATGGGGATCAGGGAAGGGGAAGCATCACAAAGCACCAGTGCCTGCACTCCACTCCCAGAGACCCTACTGCGGATGGCGGGGGGGACAATAATTGGTAGCTTTTAAAAACACCCATAGGGTTCAACTGTCCAGTTATGGGTGGAGATCTCTAGTACGATAGGCTAGAAAATTAGTGCAGAGAGAAGTGAAGGCAGTCTGCACATGCTATGCTTAGTCATCTTTCCCAAAGACCACAGGCGATTCTATACAAGGGGTTTCAAAAAGTTTGTGGGGAAATGCACATTTCTTTAATTCGATGTTTCCGCGAGCATTCAGGAGTTGTCATTTCCTCCAGCTAAAAGTTTCGCGTAACTAACGGCATTAGGAAACATTTTGATGTGGCATTAAAAAGGAGGTATTAAAAAAAAAAAGAAAAATAAAATAAAAAGCTTAGTACCATTAAAAAAAAAAGGAGGTATTTGGGTTCTCCTAAATATCAAGAATTGAAAGGAACTGAATCAGGGCAGGAAAGTGCTCAACCCGCAGCACCCTCAATCACGGCAAGCCCGTGTTACACGTGGACTATTGTGACCCCTCCGTGCCTTCATCCTGCTCCGCCACCTGACTGAAGCCTTTCAGAAACGTCACACGTATCACGATGCCTCATGTTATATCCTCTGCATGGGATCTCAGGCCACTAAGACAGCATTTTCCAAGGCCACTCACAAGTGGACTTGGGGCTACTTCTAAAGAGCACCACCAGCCAGCTTACTTTTCATCTGAAAAACCCCAGTGGCCGCTCCTTGCCTCTGTGGTTGTGCTGACAGTACACACTACCTTGTAGCTCCCTCTGGCTGTCATCCCTCCTGCGTCTCCTTTGCAGGTGTCCCGTCTTACAGCAACCCCTTCGGTGTTCCTCAGGTTTCTGTTCTAGTTGTTTTTAATCTCCTGGAGTGAATGTGTCCATTCCTAGGGGTCACAACCAGACCGCCGTCTCTTTGAGCCAACTACCTAGTGGATAGCTTCACTTGTGGGGTAGAAAACATACAATCAACCTGTCCCCCAAGAGGTGAAAATAAATCATTTTTCTCTCTTCTGCATCCTAAGTCAATGGTCCCACCATCCTAACGCACTGCCCAAGTCACACATATTGAACTGTCCTGTTCCCGTCTTCCTCTTTTAACCAGTCCCCGAGTAGGATACGAAGTCTACGCCATCTACTCCTGCACATTTCCACCACCAACCCATGCCACGTGCCGGCAGGATCACACCGGCCTCTTGGTCGCCAGTTTCACTGTCTCCAGCCCTCTCTTTGAAATCCATTTACCAAATGGAAGCTAGAGTGGTCCTTGAAAAGTCAGTCTCAGTGGCTTCCCCTGGTTAAAATCCTTCGATGGTTGCCCCATTAGCCTCTGGATCAGAATGATCTCCCCAAACTGGCTACCAGAGTCCTTAAGCTGGCCCTAGTTAACTCGGGCCTGGACTCACCACTTTGATCACTCTCTGAGCTCCGGACCCACAGAAGAAGTCATCGTACTTCCGGTTGCTTCAAGCCTGTGTGCGTAGTCTCTCTCTCCCCTGCAATGGTCTTGAACTCTTGCCTTCCTCTTCCCTTGATGTCTGGCTAACTTAGATATTCTCCAGATCTTAAAATAGATGTCATTTCCTGCAGATTCCAGAATAGTGCCCAGCTGGCCTCAAAGCTCAGCACCAGATGCCTTCCTAACTACCACCACATCAGGCTGTTCGCTTCCAGTCTTTGATAGTCACACACTGCATTCCAGTAGCCACCTTACCTGTCTCCATCCACCACTGTTCCCCATGTCTCTTGTGAGTAAGGCCCTTTTGGGGTATGCCCAGCTGTGTCCCTAGAACCCAACAGTGAGTGGCTGGAACATGAGATGTGTTCAATACATTCAAATGCAGAACTTGATACACCTGCATCTTGACGCAACTGAGATTTCTTTCTTCAAATGTGCTCAGGCCCTTTGCCCTGTTGGGACTCCGCTCTCTTTCCCCGGCTGTGTGGCAGGCTACTCTCCATTCTTCCAGCCCCTACTCACACATGGCCATCTCTGGAACACTTTCCCAAACCGGTCCCCCGATGCATTCTCCTCAATTAGTCTCCTTCATATCACTTATCCCGGTTTTTATTTTGTCGGTTCAGTGTTTTACCTCTTTCCCACTACAGACTAAACCCATGAGAGCCAGGGCCATGTCTGTGTTAGTCACCACTGTTTAACTTGACATGCTGCTTGCTATGTAGCAGGGACTCATGATATATTAAAGTAATGAAAGAATAACCTCAACAACTAATAACATCTCCACATCCACGTTGCCTCCCCCAAACTTAGTCATTCCCAAATTTTCTCAATATTGCTACTCACCATGGCCACAAAACAAAGCAACCAAACTCAGAGCCGAGTCAATTCTGTCTCATGCCGACCCTATTGCACAGGGTAGGGCTGCACCTGGGATTTTGAGACTAACTCTTTATGGTACAGCAAGCGGCATTGGTGTCTTCAAACTGCTGATCTTGGGGAGTGCAGTCCAATGCACGACCACTAGGCCACCATAGGCATAGATGTCTCAAGAGTATCTGCTCTTCCCTGTTCTGTTGGACACTTGTAGGCATAATACTAGAGAGTGGGAGGGGCTTGGGGGGGGCACAGGTACAGAGATCAGGTAAGCATTCCCTTAATCATTAAACTTTACCAACAGTTGATAAAGTGAGAGTAAAGACTAGCATGATAAACAAAGAGAAGCTGCCTTGCCTTTTAGGTCTTTTACATAGCCCTCCTTGCAACTGTGCATGAGCTGAAGGATCCACTTGTGTTGGGCTCCAATACACTGCCAAGCAGGGTCACCAGGAGCATGAAGGTCAGACAGATACCTGAAAAAGAAGTCCAAGGACGACAGCTATATATATTTTTAAAAAGCTAAGAGGAAGAGCTAGGATATTTCAAAATCTTGAAGTGAAAAAGAAAAGCTGCAATTAGTAAAGCATTTATCAATAGTAGTCTGGTATTCAATTCTCAATGAAATATATTCAGATTTCTTGCCATGTAATTAATAAATAATAATGAACAAAAAGGCAATGGGCTTTCTAGAAAGACCAAGGAGACTTGCAATAGTCCTACCTCCTCAACGTGAACCTCCTTTCGAGCTAGTGCACCGCGTTTTCCCTTGCAATCACCGTATAAGACACAGGTGGGAGCTGGCGAAGGACACTTGGAATGTTTGGGTTTGTTTTCAATTTCAGCCCTTTTGGTTTGGTTTCATTTCACTTGCCTGTCTGGGATGAAATAAGGGAGCCAGTGCTGTTGAATAAGTGTTGGGCGGCTAACCCCAAGATCAGCAGTTCAAACCCACCAGCCATTCTGCGGGAGAACGATAAGGCTGACTGCTCCAGCAAAGACTTACAGCCTCAGAAACAGTAAGGGGCAGTTCTACTTTGTTCTATAAGCTGAGGCCAATCAACTTGATGGCAGTGGGTTTGGGTTTTTTGGTTTAGTATGAAATAAGGCCAGTAGATGGCAGTATGACTCTGTTTCCCCATAATGGTCTAGCTGAAGGCAAATGAAACTTAAAAGTTAAACCAAATCCCTGGCAATCCTATAGGACATAGCAGAGCAAAACCCCATAGGGTTTTTAAGGTTATAACTTTTTACAGGCTCTGTCTTCAGTAGAGACACTGGTGAAGTGACGATCCACCAGACTTTAGTTAGCAGCACAATGTTCAACAACGGTGTCACCAGTGTTCCTTAACTGAAACTTATGGTCCCTAATCAACATGAAGTGATCTGGTTACAACACACTTAATCTGTAAAATCTGAACTTTAATTTAGGACTGTTTGAGAAAAACAGTGATCTAGAAACTATAGCATAGATAGGCATAATTCCTCATTTTAAAATAATTCTTAAAATAATCACTGTGTACATAAATAACTCAAACCAAATAAACAATTAAAATACACTTTCATTGAAAAAAAATCCTGTCCAATATTTAAGATTTGGCCCTGATCCTAGAAAACTATGTAAACATAACCAGCTAAATCCAATTAAATCCATATCAAAAGTATGTCCAGATGAACTTATTGTCTTAAAATGATTCTCAAACAATAATCTCTCCATTGTCTTGAGTTAAAGATTTTTGTCCCATGAGAAAGTTTAATGAATGGTTCCAAGCTATGGCCGCTACGCAAATATGAATTACTCAGGGATTTACCCAATTCTTCTCATCCACGTTGCTCCAATAATGAAAATACCATTATTTGTAGACATTTGAATTAGTGCTAATTATAGAAAAAACACATCCCTTTTGTAATACATTAGCCACCAGGAGAGTATTGAGAAGAAACCCTTCACAGGCCAGTCCTGGAGGAAGCCGGTCTTTGGAGGAAAGCTGAGCCCCCGATGGGCCTACTGTGTGTGCAGCACGGCTCAGACTGCACAGGGGCGTGTGGCTCCTTGCTCTGGTCCCAGAGACAGCCTGCTGACTTTTTGCAAACAGGTAGTGTTTCCAGTTGAGAAAGTGACAAATCAAACCAGAGGAAGAAGGGCACCTGTATTAAGAAGCCACCTAGGATTCTGCTGCACACAGAAAGATAGCCACCTGAGAAGGAAATCTGATTAACTGAATTTCACAGGACACAAGGAGCTTGGTGGGGCAGCGGGTTACTCATCGAGCTATCAGCCGCCAGGCAGGCAATCCGAAAACACCAATCCCTCTCTGGGAGGAGGAAGAGGCTTTCTGCTCCCATGAAGACAGCCAGCCTCGAACACCCACAGGAGCACTCCTCGCTGCCCGGCCATGAAGGCCTCAGCGAGTCACACTCAACTGAGCAGGGAGGAGGTGGGGGCGCTGAAGGAATTTTAAAGTTTTGAAATTCCAAGCGAATTCTTCTCACACAGTGCTTTCTTCTTTTATTATCTGGGATATAAATGCGGCAAATAATACCTTTGCATCTTTTTTCAACAAAGAACATTTGGTTTGGGGTGGGGGTGGGCTGGGGGTGATGTGGGGTAAGGCAAATACATCACTCATGGGTCTTACACGGGCTTGATTTGACTCCAAATACTTCTGCAACCCTTCCGGACGGCCCACACTTTCATTCACACGCCCCTTAGGTTGGGAATTTAGTAGTCAAACACAGGCATGCTCTCTATATTTGAAAAGCTACTCCTAGTTCATTGTTAAATTACTAAATTTAAAGGACTCTCTTTTTCTCATGCACTGCAGCCAGAAAAAAGGTATGAGCTTTCTGGTGTAGCAAAGTGTACGTCTCTCTAGTATGTTGACCGTCTCCTCAAAAGTTCCACAATACTTCTTATAGCACCTGCTCAAATACACTACTATCTAGTAGATTCAGACTCAAAGAGACCCAGCGTGGGGTTTCCTGAGCTTTGTAAATCTTTCAGAGAACAAACACCCTCAAAGAGACTGGTGAGGTTCAACCACTGGTGCAGAGGTTAGTAGGCCAAGGTCTAACCCACCATATACCCCCAGGGATCCTCTATCATGATATTAATGTATTAATTTGATTAAATTAATAATATTAAAAGTATTGATTAATCAAAAGAGATAATGACAGATAGCTGTTCTTTCAGAAATTCTATAGAGCTTATCAGTTCAAAAGTACAACTTTACTCAAACTAGGTGTTACTTTGGTTATATGATAATTCAATAAGCTTTCCGTTGTCTTTTAGTGTGCAGCTTAAAAATTGTTTAATTTCCAAGATCTTTGTTTAGAATGGGATACATGTGCTTGCTATTTGATTTAAAGTTGCATATCAAGGAAAATAAGGTAAAGAAGGCTAACTATGGTAAGCATAGGTTTCATATTTTAAAATTAAAGTTCTGTCAGATTCTGACATAATTTCTAACTATCACCAAGGATTGAACTGCATTAATATGAAGAGGAGCTTGCAAACTTGGTTTCTTTTAAGCACATTTATTAGTAAGCTATTTGCTGATAGCAAAGAAAAGTAAGGAGAGTGAAGATAATGAATTTTTAGCAAACACAAGACAATGTGCTGATAAATACTTTGCATACCTTAACCTCTTTAAGAAAGATAACATCGATATATTTTGCTTGGTGACAAAGCTCTTCCTCTCACCATAGATTTCCAAATCTATTAACATTTGGCCTGGTCCTGATAATATACTACCTATTAATGCCTGAATATTTAATTTTAAAAAGATAGCAGTGTCTTTTGAAAGGTAGCATTAGAAATAAAATAATAGAAAAAATTTGTGAATTCTTGTTGACCTTATTCTTTTCTCATTAAAATGAGGGCCAAGGGCATTTGCACAGGCTAAAAGCTTCTCTTCTGACATGTCGCTGCTCACCGCTATCAAGTCCACTGCCACTCACAATGACCCTACAGGACAGAGTAGAATTGCCCCCCAGGGTTTCTGAGGCTATAAATGTTCACAAGAGCAGAGAGCCTCATCTTTTTCTGTGGGGCAGCTGTTGAGCCAATGGCATAGCACCATCAGGGATCCATCAGTGCTAGCCTATCTGTTAAACGCTTTCTAGTAGGTTAATGAGCCATACGGAGTGCATTTTAGTTAAGTATTCAGATGGTTAGTCACGGCATGAAAAAAAAGTACATGTAGTAAGTGTTATAAGGCAAATTTAATATCATAAGCATAAACAATAACTAGTGAGATTATAACACAGAACAGCAAGAACAAGAATCAGAACCAGTGGTGCAAACCCATGGTGTATCCTGGACAAAACAATTAGCCTCTCTGGGAATTTCTTTAGATGTAAAACAAAGCAGTTAGAGAAAGATCATGTAGTTTTTTCCTAGCTTTGAATTTCTATGACGCTACAAGCCAGGAAACTTCCCTAGATAAATATTTCCTATGGAGGCAGCTTAGCGAAAAGCTGGGATAGGCTTTGAACCCAGACAAAGCCTACCTAAGTGTGCCGAGCAAGAGATAAAGCTGGAGGCTGTTTCTGCATATTACAACTACCTTCTTCTGGCTGTTGTGGGGATCAGAGATGATGTACAGACGCTCAGAGCCCATACATTGGGCTGCTAACCTCAAGGTCAGCAGTTCAATACCACCAGCTGCTCCTCAGGAGAAAGATGAGACTTTCTACTTTGGTACATAGTTAACCAGTCTCAAAACCCACAGGGGCGATTCTACTCTGTCCTATGGGATCCTACTGGATCTCTATGAGTCATAATGGATTCGATGGTCGTGAGTTTGAATACAGATGCTCAGTCATGACAACAGTGATCCTTGTCATTGTTCTCCATGCCAGCGCACTAGAGCACTTCCTGCGCGCCTCAGCAACACCAGAGCGCTCCTTCCACCAAGACTACAGGGCTGAGGCAAGCCCTGCCCTTCCCCAACTGCAAAGGCAGCTGGTGCGCAAGGCTGAACTCCCTCCATTCCTGAAAATACATGCAAAAGTCGTCTGGTGACCACAGCTATAAGGATAAATACATAGTTCATTCGACTTTTATAACTACTAAATATTCAATACGGTTCACTAACTGGGAAGTCATGTTGTACAACATGGGGATACTGAGTCAGATATAATCATCTATTTTACTTAGAACAAAGGTCAGACTATAATATTCCAACATAACATAAAGTTAATATTTTTTTATTCTGAGATACAATTATATATTTTAAGTATCCAGAAGACTTGATATCACTTTGTGGATGAAGAAACTATAGAAGTCAATTAAGTTGCCCAGCGTGTTTATTATGCTATACTGCTTCCAGCAACAGTACTGCTTTTTAGTTTTAAAATATTTAGGTCTCTTTCACTGATAACTAAAGATGTGAAGAGCAGAACTCCTTTTCAAGCCTTCTAGAGTCTCCTCTATGGTGAGCCCTGCACACCCCTGAGGACCTGAGGACCCCTCCCCCGTGTGCATCAGTACTTGTCCTGCATCAGCTGGGTTATACAACTCCACCAGGCCCTTCCAGGATGCTACCAGGCACACATCACCATACCATCAAGGAGGGGGTAGCCATTGCAGAAATCAGTGACCAAGCAACGAGGGTGCTTTTACTTTCACCAGACTGTCAGGAATGTCTTACCTTAAAAAAGGAACATTCTGCACTCACTCACTGACGCAGTCACTGCTGACGGATAGCAGCGCTACGGGGCAGGGAAGAACTGCCTCTTTAGTTTCCAAAATTGTAGCTCTTGAGGGGAGTGGAAAGTCCCGCCTTTCTCCCGATATTCTACACCTACCCCCAAATTATTTATTATGCAAAATAATTCTGGTGTCCTATACCACACATCCCTAAATTTTTGCTATTAGTTTTCACGTTTATATTTGCATTTCATCAACCAGTCTTCTGGTTTCCCCCAAATTAGCTGCCTGGCTTAGGTAATGTGTGTAGGACCAAACAGGATATGTGACTCATCAAAATATTTGTAGATGGTTTACCTTATATAACGTTTTTGGTCATGTAAGGTTGATGGTGTCTCAAGTAATTTATCCAGAAGTAATTCTCTTAAAGCTTCAATTCGTGTTTCTACTTCGGCATAATCTAGTTTAAAAGGGGAAAAAAATTATACAAGGTTTATAGAATCCGAACCAAAAATCAAATTATGGAACAGTAGTTACCTTAGAAGAGAGCAGGGCTTGACTGAGAAGGGACACCAGAGAACTTTCTGAGGTGATGAAAACACTCTGCAGCTTGCTAGGGTGTGGGTTACACGGGTGTATGCACTTGTCAAAACCCACTGACCTGTGACGTGTAAGGTCTACACTTTTCACTGCATGTAAATTTTACCACAATAAAAAAACAAAATTTAGTTGTCAGACTCCTTATGGATTTCACTTATGGACTTAAAAAAATCTTGTGATATTTTTCCTGGGTGATAGGGGTTTACTCTATATCATTTCAAAATTTCCCCTTTTCTACAACTCTGGCATTAGAAGTAAATTCAAAAGTTGTTTCCTTTTTGTTTTAACCTAAGGTTGGGATTCTTGAACATGTCTTTCTGAAATGGGAAACTTGAAATGTAAATTTCCATCTCTAGAAATATCAGTAATTTATTCTTTCCAGAAAAGGGAAAACAATTTTAAATAGGGTGGTGGATAAACAGTATAAATATGCCGAGGCTTAGCTATCATTGTGGTAGCTCCTTCCCATTACATCTCAGTAGAAAAGTTTTACTTTTTGAGGTAATTGTTTTACACTTTGGAAAAAACACCATATAAACAAAAATTGAAGCACATGCAACATTCTTTGCAAAATAAATTATACATTCTTTCTGGAAGGAGCAAGTAGAAAATTTAGAAGTAATAAATAAGTCTTACATTTCTTGAAAACTTGCACCTCTGTTTTTCCAAAGAGTGACTTGGCCTTTTCATAATCATTAATAACCACATCGTAATCACCCTTTAAAGTAAAGAAACATTTTAGAGATTGTCGAGAAAGCATAATGGCATCAAGACATTGGTTAAGATAACAAATATCTTAACAAATCCTTAAATGTATGAGACATCTACACTGTCGGAACATAAATATGTACTCTACCTTTTGAATATTCCTTTCAATATTCAGAGGAAGGCTGAAAAGAAACTTAAATCGCTGGAGCACAGTGAGCGCATTTCTGGTGGAATCTGCCTTGTCCTTCCGACCTAAGACTTCTTGGAATAACGTGTCTGCAGTATTACTTGCTCCTGTTGTAAAAGGTTAAAAAAAAACAACCCAACTTGGATGAAGGCTGACTTTAATCAGAAAATGTGCAACTAGGCACTGGAAAGAAAAGTGTTGGACTACTGTAGTTTTATGTTAAAACTTAATAGACATTTTTATGCAGAGTATATTGGAGATCTTTTATAGTTTGCTAAAATGCAATTTCCATTTTTGCCTGCTAAGTTTTTTCATATGCTAAGAATGGTATCCAATTAAAAACAACCATATTTACCATGCTCAAATAACTTCTCTAACGTGAACATACATAACATTAGCTACTCTCCTCAATTTTATACCAGCTCTGGCCCCGAGGTCATTTCATTAAACCAGACAACAGCTTAACGCACACACACAACACACTGCACTAATTTATTCCCAGGTTTTCAATATTTTCATATGTGCTTAAGAAAAAGAAAGGGAGAAGAGAAAAAAATGGAAAAATATTTTCCAGAATATTTTTAAGTAAATCCATTTTTAAAATAGACTTTAATATAGCAGGCACAGAAAATTACATAAAGCAATTTAAGATTTATTCAAACATTAAAATGTAAACTTTAAATTGAAGTTAAATTCAAACTTTAACAGACTATCAAATATTTTTAAAACCAGCTCTATTTATAGTTACATATGAAGCAAGCATTTCATACATATTTTAGAGACGTCAAACTATATGAATCAGTATAATGAAAGAACTGCTTTATCTAAAGTAAAATTTACTGTGTACAAAAATAGTTCACATTTTTCTCCTCGTGAATTATTTTTAATTAGTCACAAAAAAAGGGTAGAAAAAGGATAAGCTGTGTTTGGATGTTTGATGGCTGCTTGTAAAAAGTTTCTACATTATCTGGTCTAGTGACTATACTTTAAGCAAAGATGAAAAAATTACGTCGGTCTCACTGGGTGGCTGCATGCCATATTCTCTAGTCAGCACTGTGGGTGGCCTGACCATGTTAAAAGTCGTCTTTGTAAAATAATTGCTTTATCTAAATAATGTTTAAATTCTGCTGAAATTTTAAAGGCTTCATATAAAAACTTTGCTTTGTCAAGATAGCTATTTTTTACCACATTCTATTTAATGAAGAATACTGAATTTCTCGTAAAAGATCAGAAAAAAATCTATTCCTTTCTTGTCATGAGACCACATAATGATAGGTAAATGAATATGTGATATCTGAGTAAGATGAAACTTTTTGTTCAGAGAACATTTTTTAAGTATTTGTTTATTATTTTGAAAGTATAATCTTCATGAATTGAAGCCTCTTATGTGAAGAGATATGTGAAAGGGCTGAAATTTTTAAAAGGTTAAGTGCCTATATGTGGGCTTTCGATGACAAGCATTTTTTCCCCTTTATTTGTACAAGGAAATACTTTTGGGTAAAAAGTATAAGAGTTCAAAACTAGAATTTTATCACTTTTAGTTAATAAAAATAAGTAAACATGTATCTCTTCTAAAAGGCATAAACACAAAAGAAATTTAAGCTACAATTAATAATTAAATAAAAAAATAACATTTTACAAAGAATAATTTATATAGCAAATTATAAAATTATAATGCTAATTTATTTATATGGAGATGTTTGTATTTCCAGATGGAGGATTTTAAATTATGCACACAGAGAAATTATTAAATTGTGATTTTAATTAATTAATAATTTCAACATCCAAATTATTCTGCTGTGAATTTTACTGAATTCATAATAACATGTTGGGAGTTCATAACTCTTTGATAACTGTATGATTACATCCAGTAATAAAATAAATGAGTGCAATGAAACCAAGATTTATGCAGGCAGATAAATCCAGCAGCAGCTCACAAAATGTACTTTAAGTCTGTATTCACTCGGGCTCCGAATGAGGAAAGAAAACGACTAAGCAGGAGCGGTGCGCTCCTCCTTCAGCAAGCACGGGTGTCCTCCCCAGCAGTGCTCGACCGTGTGCCCCCTCCAGCCCGCCTGACTCAAGAGCATGCAGGTCTGTGGTAGCTGGCAGGGATTTGAGAACAGCACAACCACACAATGGATGCATCAGACTACAAGACACGGTAGCCACGACTTCAGCTTTCCAGGTTGCAGAGCAAACTGTGATCTTCCCTTTTACCAGCTTTATGCGAACCAGGACCTGAGTTTTCCCCTTTCATCCTTACCCTGGGCTGATTTCAACACACTCTGCCAGTGAGCACCACAGCTTCACTCACAAACCCAACTGAGAACTACGAGCATTGCTGTGCTCACAGTCTTCCGCTGCCACCGTTGGGCAGAACCCACTGTGGTAGTGACATTTCCCTGCACTGTAAGACGGAAAGAGGAGCACACTCTAAAAGCTAGGAGCACACTCTAAAAGCTAGCAGCACACTCTAAAAACCAGAACTCAGATCTGCCAATTGATCTCATATCCTAACTGTAAAGAGTAGCAAACGGGGAAAAAATATTTTAATTGTGCCAGGAAGTCCTGTTAAGGAAAACCTTCGTTGTGCAATTCTAACAGTGTCTTATCATTTCATGCAAGTTTATTTAAAGTAAACATTATGCTTTCCCTTATTTCCAAGTCAGCTTATTGGTCTAGCTCAGGCATCCTCAAACTATGGCCCGCGGGCCACATGCGGCCCCCTGAGGATGTTTATCCGGCCCACTGGGTGTTTTTGCCCGGTTTGTTTTTTCACTTCAAAATAAGATAGGTGCAGTGTGTATAGGAATTTGTTCATAGTTTTCTTTTAAGCTATAGTCCGGCCCTCCAACGGGTGTGAGGGACAGTGAACTGGCCCCTGTTTAAAAAGTTTGAGGACCCCCTGGTCGGTACTAAACTTGAGACTGTGGGTCACAAGAGTGGTTTTTAATCTGTGCGTTCTGTTTGATGAGCATGGGGGAGGGAAAGAGAACTTGACAGATACACACACAGGCCACATAATACAATTTACCCCAGGTCAGGGCAGTTGAACAGATTATGAAATAAAACAGTAAGGCACCTGGAAAATTAAGGAAACCTTGAAATGTTTACTTAAATGCAGAGCCAAACCAAGAGCACAGAGAGATCTAATAATCTGCTGTGACTGTCTCAGTTCGTCCTAACAGACTAGAAAATGCTCAGACTGCTACCAATAACAAACGTAATGGTATTAGGTTAATAGTTTCATTAGCAGTATTTAATACTTGCTGACAACATCGTTTCGGACTCTGGAATGTGAGAACTGCACATGCAGTCGACAAAATGGGAAATTCTGTGGGAGGAAAGGGACCTGTTGTACTTGTGACTCACACAGGCTCGTGTCCCTTTCCAACTCTGAATCAGGAGTGAGGGAGGGGAGGGTTGGGAGTTTGAAATCAGCACAGGTGGGGGGGGGGCATTTATAGCTCAACAATGCTAAAATTGGCAGGTGCTAAAATTAGGGTGATTTTTTTTATTTTTTGAATGTTGGTTGTTAAATATTTACCAATACATCATTCGCTTATGAAGTCAACTCTTTAAAAAAAAATCTGACTCTAAATTTTTGGTGTTTGAAATCCACATGAAAGGGCTTTCTTCTTTTAACACAGACTAAGATTACGTTATTCATTACTATTCTTTCAACTACCACTTCTATGTTGGTAACTCCCAAACCTATTTCACAAATCACACCTGTTAGCTTAAGACTAATCCTTAAATTTATTTTTAAAGACACATAATAATTAAAGGTAATATGTTGGGCATTTACTCTATACTTGGTTTTAGTCTAAGAGCTTTACATGTATTAATTTCTTTAAAATTATGTCCATTTTAAAGTGGAGGCAACTGCAACAACTTGCCTAGAAAGTGGTGAGAGCTAGAAAGATCGGCAGGATGCTCAGGAATCTCAAACTCCTAATATCATAAATTGAATTAAGTTTTTCCTTCTCTACCTCGTTCTACGAGCCTGCATTTCCTCTTCTGATTGACACTAGTAATCACTGTCTACTATGTTTTTCTTACTTCACACATCAATTCAATGGGCAAGTAGATTCTACCTTCCCTCCTTCCTTAACACCTTTTTGTCGGTCTTTCGCTCTCTTCTCCACCTCTGCTTTGGTTCAAAGGCCTTAACCATTTCTAGCGCCCTTCTATGTGGTCTCCCTTCTTGTTTCCACTCAATCTCCCTTTTAGTCCATGTTCTACACAGCTGGCAAAATGCTCACTGAAATTTTCATCACATCACTCTCATAGTAGAACTTCCATGGCTCACAGTCGGCTTTGGGATAAAGAAAAAAAAAATCAACATTACATAGACGCAAGCTGTGAGCAGCCTCATCTCCCTGGCAGACTCACCAGTCACTTCAGCACTCGGGCAACACTCATTGACAGCTCCTGGAACTCGGCCGGCCTCCTCTCTAACATGGTGACTGGCTGCTCATGTTGCTGGCCTAACCTACAACACACCTGCATCCATTTAGCAAACCCCCTCCCCCGCCCCCAGCTCATTTGGCTATGCCCAGCTGGCTACTCTCTGCTCTCTTATAAGGCTACTGCTACCCTTCCCTGATAGTCTCTCCATTCCACTTGTCAGTGAGGTGCCCATATGCTTGTTTGAGATGCACAGCAAGGTAACCACGAGCAGAGCATCAGCACATCATAATCTAATCACCCGCTTCATGGGCAGTATTTTCCGCTGAACTATAAAGTCTTAGAAGGCACAGAGCCTTTTTGGTTTTATATCGCTGGGATAAAATGAGCATGTGCTCAATAAACGCATTCTTCTGAATCAAATGTCCAGTATTCTTTCTATTTAGGGAGGTGGTGTATTATAGCAAAGGTTGGTCTCACTCCACATGGTAGTGAGGGGTCACAAAAACAGCCATGCAACGTGGGAAATAATCAGCTCCATCATTAATCAATGGAAAGAATTATAATCACTCTGATTTAAAAAAATGAATTAGAAAGAATTGTTGAAAAATTAAAAACTCACTGGGATCATAAATGAATAGAAAAAAATTTTAATAGTGAAATTATTATTTATTTAGTAGTGGTGCCATGTTGGGCTGCTAACTGCAAGATCAGAAGTTTGAAACCTCCAGCCACTCTGTGGAAGAAAGACAAGATTTTCTACTCCTGTAAGGGTTACAGTCTTGGAAACCCAGAGGGCAGGTCGACCTTATCCCATAAGGTCGCCATGGTTCAGAACTGACCGACCTGGTAGCAGTGAATTTGAGTCCTCTTTTCATCTTTTAAAACATGACAAACACTGAAAATTAAGTGTTCTAGTATAATTATTATTAATATTTTTAACGTACCTACAGCATTTGCCTTTTTCTCCATCATGGAGCTTTGGACACATGAGTACACATGGTTTCTATGCCTTGGCAAGTTGTCATACTCCTTCCTGAGCTTGGATCAGCTTCTTGTACTTTGCACTTTCCTTTAACATGAAGTATTTTGCCAGCAATCCTTTCTTCATCCTTTCTTATCACAAGCACTTCCCACCTTTCGGTCACTGAACTCCTCCAGCACAGTGGCACTGTCACTCCCCCATGGTCAGCTATTTCATTTAGAGTCAGTCTGAACTTCACTTACTGTGTTAACAGTTTGGATTTTTTGATGTGTTTGCACTTTTGTAGGACAATTCCCTGTTTCAATTGTCCATTTTGATAAAATGCCATGTGGTTTATCACTGGGAAACAGAGAGATGAATAATGAGGTTTCTCATTATGTCTGTGTGAACTGATAACAAACACCCGGGCCCCGTCGCAGCAGACTTTGAAGGAAGTGGCGGGCTGACGGCTGACCCTGATGCGCATCTGCTATTACATCATGAGCTGTGGACTGAGGAGCCATGTCTGTTCGCTGCACAAATCACGGCTAATATGCTGTGGTAACTGACATTTGAACCCTGCTTTTGGGGGCTGGTGCTACTTAACTGAACTGTGAGTGCAAGCTTCAAGACGACTAGAACCTGGCACAGCAAGGACAGCCTGTGGCTCACAGTCTGCAGCCAGATTTCTCTATAGGAACCCCAGCTCTGCCATTCACTCTTCTGGTGCTTCCGGTTTTTATCAATAAAATGGAGATGATTCCACAACTCTCAGGTGGGTTATTGTAAGGACTAAATTTGTGTAAAATACGTAGAACACGGCCTGAACTGTAGTAAGTACTTGATAAATTTTAGCTTTTGCTACCACAATTATTCCAAAGTATATGAGGTACTTTGAACATGTTGTCAGGAGAGATCAACCCCAGGAATAGGACATCGTGCTTGGTAAAGTGGAGGGGTAGCAAAAGGCAAAAGAGAGCAAGCCACGCAGACTGACATAGTGGCTGCAACAATTGGAACCACCTAGTGGTTCAAGCATATAAACAATTGGGAGGATGGCGCAGGGCTGGGCAGTATTTCTCTCTGTGGTACATGGGGTACATGAGTCAGGACCAATTCAGTGGCACTTAACAACAAGAGCAACCACCATAATTACTACTCTGAGTACTCATACTACCTTGAGTAGACCTGCATATTTTAACATAGTAGCTACGAGTCTCGTGTGGCTATTAAACTTAAAGCTAAATTAAGTACAATAAAAAAATAAGATTCCTTGATAGCACTAGACATATTTTAAATTCTTAACAGCTAGCTACAATCTTATCATTGCTGAAATTCTATTGGCCTGTGCTATTCTATGTTCCTATGAAAGGTAAGATCATAACAAGCTGGATATGAGAATTTGATATAAATAAATTGGCATCATTTCATTACCAGCTTCAAAACAAGAAGGAATGACCACATTCAAAGGGCAATGAGATGCATATGTCACTGAGAACAGAACAGGAATTTCGATGACCGAATTAACAATGCCACCTCTGAATACAATGTTTCTCATCGCCAACACGATCACATTACCCTAGAGAAAGGCATTTTTAAGAAAGGATGCACACCTTAATGGAAGAGAAAAAACCTCTCATTTAAAACCTACAGAAAGGTGCATATAAGTTAGCAGACAATAATAGCAAAGAAAATCGCATAGTAATCCTCTGAGCAACTACATTCATATTCATTTAGTGATTCTCCCCTTTTCAAAAGAAATTGCAGTGAATAGTGTTTTTGTGAAAATGTTTCCTGAATTCAATTTTCTTTTTCTTCTTTCCAAAGCTGATCAGTCGGTAGAAACTCTTGGAGAGTTCAAACCACATCTCTTCCAGCTGCGTGTCCCAGAAGGACTTAGCACACAGCCCTTGTAAACATCAAGTGCGTAATCCCTGCAAAGTCGACCTACATGAGAAACATCTTATCCTCAGGCAGTCAATATCAACCCTGTGTTGATAAAGAATGCTTCTGGGGAAATGAGAAATATTATAATCTATCTTAGGAGACATTTTTAGATGAGAAAGTCCCAAAGGAAAGGCTCATGAAGTGATACACTTTTACAAACTTCTACAGAAAGTTAATATGACACATTTTTTACACAATCCTGGTTATGAAAGAGTATAAGTAAAACGCTTTCCCTTAAATCTTTATACCATGAATCCAGAGCAAATATTTCCTTAAACTGATGCTTAAAAACAAAAGCAATCTTAAGGTACTATTACAGCCCCAACATATGAAGCAGACTTTGTTTCTAAGCCTCCAATGAGTCTCTTTTTAATTTTTTTCCTATTAAACATTCACTTTCAAAGTTCTTTCCCTTCCTGTTCTTCCCTTTTATACCGGCTTGTTCTTAATGAGTCATCTTTTTAAAGTTAGTGAAATAATCCACTTTGCTTGGCTTTTATATGTAGTTTGACGCCTTCTCCAGTGCAAGTAGTGCATACCCTTCTATGATTTTTGAGTTGTCTCACTGTGCTAACATAAAATGGTTTTAATATCCTGCCCTGTCCGGCGTCTCCCTTCACCCACTTTTCTGTTGTCCGTCTCCCAGGGAGGAGGTCACATATAGATCCTTGTTGGGCAGGATATGACAAAATAAACAATTTATAAATTATCAAGGGCTCATGAGGGAGAGGGAGAGGGAGGGGGAAAAAATTAGGACCTGATGCTGGGGGCTTAAGTGGAGAGTAAATGTTTTGAGAATGACGAGGCCAATGAATGTACAAATGTGCTTTACACAATTGATGTGTGTATGGATTGTGATGAGTCGTATGAGCCCCTAATAAAATGACGAAAAAAATTTTTAAATGGTTTTAATAAATATATATTTGGCTTAAATCTAGGAAATTTCAATAAAGTTGGTAACTTAGTTCTCACAGATGAAAATAAGACAAAATCTGAGAGCATAAACAAAAGCAACAACTAATAATGTGTGTGTGTTTGTGTTTCTGTGTGTGTGTGTGTGTGTGTGTAAATTCAGAATGAAATCCAAGTACTCAAATTTGACTGCATAGGAAAGTCTCCACCAGAGGCATGCTTCTTTCCAGGAGATACGTTCTGATTAGGGGTCTGCTTATTTGTGAATAGATATTTTTACAGAGGGCTTAGAAATGTCTGCCTCTGGGACTAAATTAAATTGGAATACTAAACTAACTTGATATCACAGTCCTGCATTCAAAGAATCATTGAACATCTGACGTGAAGTTTCTCAGTTATTCTTGACAGTAAGTCATGGGGAAATTATATGTTACATTTCTATCTAACAACAAGGAGCTCCCAGGGGCATTCTTGCTCCCCCTCGCAAGTTCACTCTAGGTATTAAAGAGAAGTACCTGTAGGCCACTGGTAGTCTCATAAGAACTCATCGTCTGACGAGATTCTTCCAAATGAAAAGGATAAGCAGCTCCTACTTAGGAGGAGGAATGACAGGAAAAGGATAAAAGAGGGGTAAAAGGAACCCTAAAATTTGCATATTATTTTCTCCAGGCTACATAGTTTTGACAAAAGCCTGGAGGATTGGACACACTATAAATAATCAGCTGGCTTAAATCCATGTTGGAAAAAGGGAAGGTGTAAACACACTAATGACATGTAGATACTCGCACAGATAACATATTTGCATTAACATGGGTAGCTGCTTGGGGTGGTCTTTTTCCAGGTTTTGGTCAATGACAATCCTGGCATCTGCTTCCGAGCTTGTCTATCCTCTATGCTATTTATACATGGTCTGTTTTATGGCAGCAAAGTGAACTTCTTAAGAAGTACATTGGTTTCTTTTCAAATTATGATTTCTCATAAATAAAATGCAAACAGAAATAGAACATTCACTTTCAATGCTGTTTTCTCCTTATGTTCATTAAATATTCAGAAATAAATACCAAGGTGCAACTTACCACCTTGTTTTGTGGAATCAGTCCAAACACTGCAGTGAAGCTGCTTTAAAGGCTGTAAGTAGTTTGACAGTCAGGTGAAACTTACTGTTCAGAACATTCTCCAGTTTCTGCGTCATGGACCCTTCCACTTTTTCCGTTCCATCCGCTTCCAGTTTTTGATGGATAGCTAGAAGGAGAAAAAAAATCTTGTTAAAATGTAGGTCATTTTAATGGGTAAGATTTTATGAAAGTGACATTTTTAAACAGCTTTACAAACCATCAGATTATTTTCACTGCTGGAAATGAGCACCACAAACATGCGATACTTTGTTAACTAACCGACAGACATTGGTCTGAGTTGCTCATAGTTTTACGCTATTAAAATAGTTCATAATATACAGATGCAATCATCTGATCTTCGAGGTTAAGTGGTCAAAGCAGTTGAATTAACAGGGAAGGGCAGGAAAAAAAGGGAAGGAAGGAGGCAGGGAGGGACGGAAAAAGAAAATTAAGACTGAAGTCATGCTGGGTCTCATTTGTAAGATCTTTGACATTTGCCCAGAGGGAAAAAATCAGTCTTATTCCTCAGCTTCATCATGTGAAAACCAGAAACACTACTACCCAATATTTACCAACCGCAAAACATTTCATTTTAGCCTTGAGATATAACATGGCTAGTAGAATGAATAAAACATACACTTATAATGTCCTAGACATTTTTAAAACCTTCTATAGGAAGAAGGGGAGAAAAGCAAAGCGTTCTATTCCCATAGTTACAATCTTGCAAACCCACAACAGCGCTTCTACCCAGTCCTGTAGAGTAAGAATTAACTCAACCCCAAGTGAGTGATGGGAAGCATGTATTGGTTGTCTGAAGGTTACCAAGAAGTATCTAATAGCGTCAAATACACATACATCAACTTTGCAAGGATGTACAAAGTACATTGGAGTATTGCTATTATTGACTTACGTCTGTCCGGCTCTGATAAATATTATCAGGGAATTGTTTAACAAATTACATTTTTAAAGTGCTTTATATGCTGAAGAGAGGAGCTGTTAAACAAAGCAAATTAGACTTATTTGGGGAAACAAAGTAAGAAGACATCAAACAAAAGAGTCAAGGAAAATTTCAAATTCAAAATTGCTATGCAAAAAGGTCCAGGCCAGCATTAATTGAGCCATGCCCATCTGTCAAAATAAGTATAGTCTCTAATGGACACTGCTCATCTTGTAAGAAACCAATCATTAATGTATGTTCTAATACTATTTTTCCTTTGCAGATTAAGTGAAATTAAGTAAATTGATCAAGATAACAAAGCCATCCAAAATTCAAACCCAAGCAGTCTGATTCCTGAACGACGACAAAAAGCTTATCCTCAACCACCTCTCCAGCCTGGGTATACAATTTCAACTGTCTGATCCTCTGCATTCATATCATAAAATGAGAACAATAAACTTATTCTGTCCAGCTCCCTTAAAAATAATCGCTACTCAAATTCATAGGATTTTATTCCTTCGCATGACTTGCCCTAGTAGAAACCCAATTATGGGATGCGCAACTCCACAGGCTTTAGCGTTAGTACACTAAAATGAAAACCCCTGTTGTATGCTCATTTGGTGACACAGCAGTTAAGTGCTCAGCTGCTAACCAAATGGTTGGCTGTCAAACACCCCGGCTGCTCTCCAGCAGAGTGCTGAGGCAGTCAGTCCTCATGAGGACTACAGCTTAGGACACTCTGTGGCACTTCTGTTCGGTCTTACAGGGCTGCTATGAGTTGGATCTGACTCTACAGTAATGGATTTGAGAGTACCCTAACATTTTAAGAGAGTCTTCTGCTATAACCCATGACTCATAGCCAATGGATTTGTGATTAAGAAAAAAAAGGAAGAAAGAATACTCTGTCTTAACAACAAACAAACAAACAAACAAAAAAGCATATTTCTTTATCAGAACTATATAATTCAAAGTCACTAAATTAGTCAGAAAATACTGGATCAGATCCATTGCTCTATGAATACATTCTCAATGGATGTAACTTCTATTTCTCTGCTTCAGGTAAGTAGCTTCTAATACTCATCTTGTTCTTGTCTGTCTGTTTTGTTTGTAGGAAAGGGGTAAAGTCGCTTAAAATATGGTTTGGAATCTAAAATAATTGACTGCTATTCTACTGAATAAACACTTACTAAAATGAAGAAGAAGAAATCCATTTTGGAAAAAGCAGCCTCTCTATTTTAATTGTCTATTGATTCAAGATTAGAACATCTGGATTGTATGATAAAGTGACATATAATGTTTCCACAGTTCAAAGTTAAACTTAATTTCAACTTAAGTAGAAAAGAACTTCCTTATCTTTAAGGAAAGGAGACATATTATGTTCAGATATTATACAGCTAACCAAGAAAGAACTACATATTCTTGATAAGCAAATCTGCTTACACTATTTAATGAAATGCTGCAGTGATTTTCTGAAAATCCTGGCTGCAAAAGGGCACTAAGCACACAAGCCACCTTTCCAGAGTGAGTCCTGCTGTGGTTTGTCCACAGCAATAAGGCACTCCAGCTTTAGAGTGACATGAACAGTAGCCTTGCCCAAAATGCTACTTTCTAAGTCAAAATCAACATGAAAGGAAACCAGGCAATCACATTTTCTGATGCTGACAAAACCCATCACTGATTAGCAGGTCAAGATGGGGTGAACTTGGCTCCCCAGCTCAACTTACAGCCCTCTTTTGCTGACAAAGCAACTTCCTGCCAACCATCTCCACCACAGCAGAGCCACTGTCAAACTGTCAGCCAAACATGAGGACGAGAGACACTGGAATCTGATAAAGGCAATCCTATTTTCCAGAAAATTAAACTAAATAACCCAGTGTCTGGTTCACGTGACCTTTTATTTTCTCTGAAAACATTCTTAAACAGTATAATTCAATAAGCAACTTGGTACATGATCATAGGTTTGTTATTGTTTCTGATCTATTAAAAGCTAAGTATGTGAAACAGTTGAATACTATGAATTTGTATCTGAGAACTAAAAAATATGTATAAAGACACAACTCAAAGAAAAATCAGGATTACAACATGATGCACACTTTATCTACTGAGTCCTTAAAATTATCTGAAAACTTGGACACTGAATTAGCAAATTTTACTTTAAAAATCTTAATACATTTCTAGGCATCAGTATATATGCCACTATTCAAAGTGGCATGGTGGAATCAGGTCTACATGGACTCATGCACCAGGCACACATCTATCCACACACTTAAACCACTATCCACACAGAGAACTCAGGGCTTGGCACACTTTCACTTTAAAAGGCCAAAGAGTAACGATTTTCGGCTCTGTGGGCCTCAGTCAGCATTTCTTACATATTCTTCTGTTTTTTTAAAAAACTATCCTTAAAAAGCATAAAATATCATACTTAGTTCCTGGCTCACACAAAGATAAGCTGTGAACTTCCGATGGCTGATCATCTGCTGACCTGTGAAGACTATCATTACTAGTAGAAAACATATCATGTTAGATCCTCTTATCATTTAAATTTTAAAAAGATGCTTTCAACACTTAGTTTCTAGCTCCTATTTTCAGAAACCTTCGTCAGTGACTACATCATCAATTAAATATATTTAAAGTAGTAAAGGAATTAATGATTCTTTTCCTTCTGCGGGTATCTTTTTAAATAATAAAATAATTGCAACTATACATAAAAGATGGATGAGTGGGAAGGATTCCCACTTTAAAACTTGGGTTCCAGATACCCTATAATCCTGGAGCATACAGCAAAGTCGTTTCCATGTGTTGTCAGAACTGCTCCAACTCGAAGCACCCCACCGGACAGAGCAGAAGAGCCCCAGAGAGCTCCCTACCTTAGCATCTCTACAGAAGCAGAGCAGTGAGTCTCTTCTCCCATGGAACGGCTGCTCAGTTGAAATCGCCCTTTGTTTGGCAGCGAAGTGTTTAACCACTGTGCCACCGGGGCGCTTGTTTATGTATCAATAGACATCAACAAAGGATGTGTGGAAACCAACAAAAAATACAGCTCCCACCACCTGGCTTCCTGGCTACATGATGAACATGGAAGGGAAGATGCAGAGTGTAATGAGCAGCAGGCGTTACTTACTCTACTTTGGCCTCTTTACTCTGCCGCTCTGCATTCTAGTAAATCATAAAGAAAATCACACACTTTGGATCGACTGTTGTTCACAAAAGCAGGAAATGGTAAAGTTGCATTTGCCACTACAGAACAAGATAATGACTTTTAGGGTTGAGGTTGGACAATGTAGAGGCTGTCGTTCCCACTCTTATGACAAGAAAAAAACAAAAACAAAGAACCTGAACATACTAAGAATCAACCATTCTTCTTAGACCCATCAGAAAACTGAGGTCACAAGTAAAACTACTATCCCCCAAACAGGAAAGATAATAACATACAGAGAAACACAGTGAATCTTCAGTTGAAGTTCAGACATGATGAATTCCTTGGAGACTGGAAGAAGACTAACAAGAAAAAAATGTAGAGGGGAGTGGCTTGTAGGGGGGCATCAAATTGTGATTTTCACTCTCAGGAACCTCACCATGAGGTTTGCGCGGTGAGAATGGAAGGAAACTGGCATGCTTCCTGCAGCAGAAGGATTAGCAGATCCATTCTGAAGTGTGCCAGCGCACTCCGGTCTCCATAGCAAGGCCTGCCCGCCAAGGAAACCATTTTTGTTTAAATCATTTTATTAGGGGCTCATACAATTCTTATCACAATCCATACATACATCAATTGTGTAAAGCACATGTGTACATTCATTGCCCTCATCACTCTCAAAACATTTCCTCTCCACTTAAGCCCCCAGCATGAGGAAACCATTTTTAACAGAGTCAACCAATATAGGTCCTACCAAAGCCATTACCAACCAGGGGAAAGGGACACATCCAATACTAGTCCTCTCTAGCCTTCCAGGAGATCCGAGAAGGGAAGTAATCAACTCCAGCCTCCTCTTACTCTTCCTGTCTCAACTAAGAGGGTTGGGAAAGCAACTTTCAAAGTAGCACTTGAAAGTGTTAAAAAGCAAAGATGTCAATTTGAAGACTATCAATCCATCTTATTTTTAATCATTTCAGATATACAGGAAAGCTAGACAATGAATAACAAAGACCAAATAAGAATGGACGCCTTTCGATTTTATTGCTGGCAAAAGATACGCAATATACCATAGATTGCCAGGGCAACAAATATGTTTTGGAAGAAGTACAACCAGAAAGCTCCCCAGAAGCAAGGCTGGTGAGACCATCTCCCACATTTTGAACATGTTAACAGGAGGGCTCCACCTCTAGAGAAGGACATCAGGCTTAGTATAAAGTCACCATAGCCCTATATAATGTTTTCAAGCCTTTGTAAATGTTTTCAGGAGCAAACTCCTCTTTCTCCCAATGGAGCAGCCAATGGGTTTAAATGCCAACCTTGTGATTAGTAGTCCAACACTTCTCTGACAGTGCCCCCAGGGCTCCTATCGGATGACTATATGATCTGGCAATGCCCCTCCTGGGTGTGTATCCAAAGGAATTGGAAGCAGAATGCCAACAGGTTCTTGTGTACCAGTTAATTGTAGCACTCTCTATAATAGCCCCAAAGTGAAAACACTCTACTATCTAGTACAAGATAGAAACACACATAATGAAAGATTACTTAGCCACAACAAAAAATGAAGTCGATAGGTACTACAATATGGACAAGCCTTGGAAACATTACGTTGAATGAACTGAGTTAATGGAAAAGGGGTAAATATTATGTGATCCCACTTAGATGAAATAATTTAAAAAGGCAAATGTATAGAGACCATGACCAGTGACTACCAGGGGCAATAGAGAAGGGGAGTAAGTGTTGAGGAGACATCGAGCTGTTGGCTTTGAGGATGATGACAGACTTCAGAAAAAGACAGCAGTGATGATTGTTCTGAATGTATTATCTATGCATGTTGGCACATTGTGGGGAGGTTGTTAAAAACAAGAAGTGTTTCTACTTTAAGATTGTACTTCCTTTTAAATTAAGCCATTCGTGTTTTAGAGAAAGTGTGGTAGAGTTCTAAGTACTTAATTATAGCTATTTTAGCTTTTAAAACTAATTGATTTAACTTTTGTTGGTACATTTTCAGTTTTAGTAGCTAAATAATAATTTAAAGTTATTGCTTAAACATAATTTAAAAGGAGTTAATCAAAATAGATCATGAATATTTCTAAAAATATGCTATTTTAATCCAATTTCTCCTGCATTGATGACAATACAGACACTCGTCATTAACTCCACGTTTGCATGTTTGGGATTAGAGACATGATTGCTAAAAAGGATATAACATCAATAGTCCTTTCAAAACTCAATACACATTTGGTCACATTTATAAACTTAATTACAGGGATATGGTAACAATACATATAAAATAATTTTTCTTTTTTAATTCTAGAATTTTACCCGCAGGGATTTAATTTCGTAACTGCCCTGGAGACTAGGCATCATGGAAAGGCAAAGTAGTCTCCCATTTCACACATGTAAGATGGGTCAACAAAAGTCTCACAGACAAATATCTAAAGTACCAAGCCTTCAAAGGGATTCCAGCCTAGTCTGCAACAAATATTTATGGCACATTTTAGATCTCCACTTATATAAATACAGAACTAATGTCGCACCCTGTAAATACTCGGCAAACACAGTGTCACGTTTCCATTATGGAAGTTCCCAGCAGATGACTCAGGGTATCACCTTACCTGAGAGGGCATCTTGTGCTTCAAAAAAAGTACTAAGGCCTCCTTTCACATACGCCAGACTGCCTTCATTCTTCTTGTTAGCCTGTTTCTTCAAATTGTTCACTGCCGTTTTGAGCTGTTCAAAACTGAAATGAAATAAAGAAACCGAATGTCTGAGGCTCCTAGCAATCAGAAAAAAGGTTAAGATAAATCCATCAAGTGTAGAACACTGGGGCACCTACAACTATACTGAGAAACATACAGACTAGGGAGTAACAAGATAAAAACAAAAAGCTCTCAAAATCCTTACTTGGATGTAAACCTTTTATTTAATATGAAGGCTAAAATTTCAGCAGCTATAAACTTTTTGTAGCACTCAAAAATACTCTCACTGCCATGGAGTTGATTCTGATCCACAGTGACCCTATAGGATGGGGTAGAACTATCTTGTGCAATTCTGAGATTAACTTTCAGAAAGTCGAAAGCCTCATCTTTCTCTTCCAGAGTGGCTAGTGGTTTCAAACTGCTGACCTCATGGTTAGCAGCCCAATTTGTAATCACTAGACCACCAGAGTTCCTCCATTCAAAAATGGTAATTCAAATATATCAGACTCCTTAGAAGTAAAGACATTGGCAGACAAATTATATATATATATATATAAAATTACTGAGGTCTCCTTTATATGCCAGATATATATATATATATTTACTGAGGTCTCCTTTATATGCCAGATATATATATATATATATAAAATTACTGAGGTCTCCTGTATATGCCAGACTGCCTTCACTCGTTAGGCTGTTTCTTCAAATTGTTCACTGCCATTTTGAGCTGTGCAAACTGAAATGAAATAGCAAAAGCAAATGTCTGAAGCTCCTAGTAATCAGAAAATACACACACACACACACATACATACATATATTTAAACATATATACACAAATTTATATATATCCTCTTGGAGCCCTGATGGTGCAGTAGTTAACTAGGCTCAGATCTCACAGAGGCGTGACTTTGAGTCATCACTGACTCGATGGCAGCAAGTAATGGTGCTAATGATGCTGAGGTTTAGTTGTTAGGCTAGTAAGTGAAAAACCAACAGTTCAAACCCACCAGCTACTTGACCGCTGCCTGCTACTATACAGATTTGCATTGCTATGAGTTGGAACTGACTATATCTCTATCTAGCCTCTCTTGATATATATTTATATACAGTAGGCTACAAATATATACATAAATATATGTACATATAAATATGTTTAAATATAACTTAAGAGGACTACCTTTTTTTTTCCTTCATGTATTGCAAATTGTTCACAAGGTGCCGTCTTACCACTTTTCTATTCAGGATGTAACCAGAGCATTTTTTTATCATTCTCAATTAAAAGGAATATTTGAATTTTCCTCCTCTGACAATTTTATACCTTTCCAGTTTTCACAGTTAAACTGTATCTATATGATCAGTCAGGTAAAGGGTTTTGATTGTCATTTATGTGACAGAATAGACATGACTTCAAAACTCCTCCGTATATGCACTTACATATTTCAGGTACAAATTGAGCATAATACTATCCTACCCATTTCAACCACCAGTCCCTACACATTAATAATCGTTGGTGTTAAGTGCTTTAGCGTCAGTTCTAACTCATAGGGACCCCACGTACAACCTAACAAAATGCTGCCTGGTCCGGCACCAGCTTCCCAGCCCAACTTCTTAGACCATTTGCTTAGCATACAGAGTGAACAAGCAAGACAAAAGAATATAACCCGGTCACATCTTTCCTGTTCTACCAATCCTATGCCCTTCTTCTGTTTGAAGAACTGCCTCTTAGTACGGGTTCCACATGCACAATTCAGGGCCCTGGAATTCCCATTTTTCTCACTGCTATTCAGTTTATTATGACCCACAAAATCAAATGGCTTCACATAATCAATACAATAAATAAATAAAACCACAAATAAATATATTTCTGGTATTCTCTGCTCTCAGTCAAGATCCAATTGATATTAGCGATAATACCTCTCAGTGCAAGTCCTCTTCTGAATAGCACTTGCATTTCTGACAGTTCTTTGAGAATATACTGCTGCAACTGTTTTTCAGTTACCTTCAGAACTTTACTTTAGTATTAACCATACTGTTTGATCATTTCTACCTTCCACTGTATCACCTTTCCTTGGATTGGGCACAAATATGATCTCTTACAGTTGGATGGCCAAGTAGCTATCTTCCAAGTTTCTTGACACAGGCAAATGAGAGCTTTCAGCTTTGCACCATTTGTTGAAACATCTTAACTGGTATTCTATGAATTCCTGAAGATTTCTAGTCAATACCTTCATTATATTGGACTTTTTCCTTCAGTATGATCAGTTCCTCATCATATGCTATCCCCAGAAATCACTGAACATTGACCAATTCTTTTTGGTACAGTGATCCTGAATTATTTTCTTCCCATCATTTAATTTTTTTGCATAGAGAATCTTAAGATTATAACTCAAGACTTAATTTTCCCCCCGTTTAGTTCATTCGGCTTGAGAAAGGCCAAGAATGTTCATCCCTTTTAGTTACCTAACTCTGGTCGGTGAATACTTCATTATAATAATTTGCTTTTATCTTTTTAAGTCACCATTTGAATTTTTTTTCAGCTCTTTTAGTTTATTTCTTCCATTCAATAGCTATCCTACAATGAATGCAAATTTCAGAGAATCATCTGACATCCATATTGGTCTCTTGTTTCCTCTCTTTAATGACCTTTTGCTTTCTTTATGTGTGAGGTTGTTGATCCCACACTCACATGATCTTCAGTCATTTGTGTGCAATATGTCAAATGTATTCTTTATCATAAGTTCCAAACATATTTGGATGATCACCCCCTTTGTAATGTTTCAGATAAAAACATTACTCAGTACCCCTTTGTAAATTAAAAACTTTTATAGTATAATATGGGATAAAGTATAGATAAGCCCTCTGGATTGTCCGGGAACCAGCTTTAGATCATTTCTAGAATCAACTGGGATACACCAAAGGTTGTACTTTGGCTCTCGAGGACCTGTAATTTTTCTTCAGATTCCAACTGAACTTGCCTATGAGCAAGTGATGACCTGTTCCACAGTTGGCCCATGGCTCTGTTCTGGCCATATGAATGAATGGTTTATTAGTTAAAATACACAGACACACTAGATCCTGAATTATACCTTGCTAATTTTGTTAACATACCCTTTTACCATGAAATTTATCTGTGAGTTCTGTGGGGGCAGAACCTAGATATGAATTTCAAAACCTAGAGGAAAAGTAGAGTACAGTAAAAGAAGAACATTTAAAACAGAACCCAACAGGCGAGTTCCACGGCAATCTTATAGAGAAGTTTGGTAAAATGTTAATTAGGAGACAAACAGACACATGTTAATGTGGATATATAGTCTTGCTGGGTTGTTGATTTTTTGTCTTGACTAGTTTTAAGCCTGGTATTGACAAAATGGCAAGCCAACTCATCTTCCTTTGGTCCTATGCTGGTCAAGAAAGGCAGATTGTTCTGTATTCTATTACAATTGTTGTGTTACCACAATTCTTGAACAATGCTTGCTCAATCTGTATGCTCAGCAAATAATCAGAGAAGCTGGAATGGATGATGAATGTGGCCTCAGGTGTATAAGGTTTATTAGCAACTTGCAATATACAGATGACACAACCTTGCTGGCAATTTTGTCAGTGAGGAAGACATGAAACACTTGATGATGAATATCAAGGATCACTGCCTTCAGTATGGGTTATAACTCAATATCAACATCACCACAATCCTCACAGCTGGACCAATAGGTACTATAATGATAAATGGAGAAAACGTTGAACTTGTCAAGGATTTTGTCTTGCTTGCATCGACAATCAATGCTCATGGAAGCAGCAGTGTTGAGATTAAAAAATGCATTGCATTAGGAAAATATGCTGCACAGGTCTCTCTAGAGTATTGAAAAGCAAGGATATTACTTTGAGGACTAAGGTGCACTTAACATAAGCCATGGAATGTTCCATCTCCTCATATGCATGTGAAAATTGGACACTGAATAACAAAGATCGAAAAAGAATTGATGCCTTTGAGTTGTGGTGCTGGAAAAGAATACCGACAATATCATGGACTACTGGTAAAAGGACAAACCAATTTGTCTTGGAAGAAATGAGATCAGAGTGCTCCTTAGAGGCAAGGACAGTGAGAGTTGGTCTTACATACTTTGGATATATTGTCAGGAGAGATCAGTTCCTGGAGGACATCATGCTTGGTAAAGTGGAGGGGCAGCGGAAAAGAGGAAGGCCCTCAACGAGATGGATTGACACGGGGGCTGCAACAATGGGCTCAGGTAGAGGAACAATTGTGAGGATGGTGCAGGACCATGCATTTCTGCTGTGCACAGGGTCACTATGAGGCACTTTAACAACAGCCATGAATAATCTCAGAATTGACTTAATGGCTGTGAGTTTGGTTTTTGTTTAATGTCTTTTTACAAAATTCTAATTTTATAAATCAGAAAATAGATATTATGAGATGTTGGCTGCCTTCTTGCAGTGTCAATAACTGACTGGGCACCGAGCCAGACCTAAGTAGGTCCTAAACAAATTATTGTAGATTCCTATAATAAGCATTGACATGAAATAATGAACAAACAACAATCCAACATGTACTAACCTGGTGGATGAGTGGTTCTCAATGAGATACCAAGCAGCTGAAAAATTCTCACTTGTGAAATCAGCACTCATTCCATGAAACAGCATTTCTAAGTCCTTCTGGGGAAATTTACCTCTGAGGAAGAAAATAATATTTAAAGCATATTTCAATTGTCATTACTACAAAAAGATACATCAGAGAATCTGGTAAATCAAACATGAATGTAAATCATAACTATGTATAGTAAATTACCAATAAATTTACAGTTTTTATAAATATATACAACATATATTTCACACATTGTGGCCAATTGTACATATAAGATAAAAATATACTTAAAATACAAAAATTGCATCAATGTGGATTATAAATTTAAAGTGGGTTTAAAATATCAGACTGAACTAACATTTTATGAAATCATTCAAAATCTAAAATAATTCCTTAACCAATAGATAAAAACAAAAAGTTGGACAGAATTTTAAAAATTAACTAATTAAGTTTAAATATTTAAATATTTAAAATGTTAAAATATTTCTTGTTAAGGGCCAAATGAAAGCTATTTTAAGATGTGTTTATCCCTAATAATATGAGATCTACCTACATAGCCTTTATACTTATATGTTCATGTCTAAAATCATTTTAAGCAAAGCTGTGATAAGTGTCATCTGCCACTTACTTTATTGGCCTCATTTTTTAAGTAGAATTCTAGATCAAGTCAATTATTCATTTGCACAAATATTTATCAAGTACCTACTACATGCCAGACTTCATGCAAAGCACGTGCGATCTAGAACTGAGAGCAGAACTGGCTTGGCTGGTTCTGTACAACCAGCATGACTGAGCCTCATCTTTGCAGTGGAAGTCTAATCCCATGGCAAGGCCTTCAAAGTTATCACGCAAGCTGAACTCTGCTTCCACTTCAGAGTCATTTCCTACGACTTATCTTTCTTACTCAGAGCTGAAATCATTGTTGAATGGCTGCTGATTTTGTACAATTTCTCCGAGAGCTACTGTTTCAAACAGTATGGTTAAAGGTGGGGTAGAAGGAAGAGAGGTGGGAATGGAACGTTCTTCTGGGTTAGTGGTTAGTACTACCCAAGGTGGCTTGTGCCTCTGTACTGCTATATATTTAAAACTTCTTTTGTCTGTGGGTATTTTCATGAGCTCCCTGAAATCCCTGTACTGATTCTTCTCAATATACTCTTGGTTACTCCATGGTAGCTCCTTGTTCTCAATGAACCAAGGGTGAAGGCCTGGAATCTGTTCTCTCCAGTGAGGCACTCACCCACTGCCATTGAGTCAATTCCAACTCACAGCAATCCTACAGGACAGAGCATAACTCCTTATGATTTCTAAGATGGCATATCTTTATGGGAGTAGGCAGCCTTGTCTTTCTCCCATGGAACATGCTGGTGAGTTTGAACGGCCAACCTTCTGGCTAGCAGCCCAATGCTTAACCCACTGAGCCATAATGGGAATCAGCAAATTTCACTTCCTTTGTGTTGAGAATCCCACAGCATCCCCCTGTACCTGCTCTACAATGGCTGTTTCAACCTTCTCAGGTGGTACCAGGATTCAGTGCATCAAAACTGCAGAGAATGTTTTGACTTAATGGCCCTCAGGAATCACACTCCCAAGGCTTGCACAGTACACACACCATACCCTTCACAGTCCAACACAACTCTCTCCAAAAAAATCTCTGCCCCAATCCTTCCTGCCTCTGCTTCTTAACAGGTAAGGGATGAAAAGAGGCAAAATCAGGTTGCAGTCATTTCTTCTAGCACCTCAATCAAGACAGAGGGACAAGAGTAAAGTAATAGGAAACAGAGGAAAGAACCAGGAGGCAAAAGGCATTTATAGAGGCCTAAAGATAAGCATGTACACATGTATGTAATGAGAGGTGAGTAGAACTATGTACTCATAACTATATGTTAAGAATTAAAGTTCCAGATGGACATTGGGTCTTGACTCAAGTGCTCCCTTAACACAAGAACACTTTGTTCTAACAATCCGGCATTCTGTGATGCTCACCTTCCTGACACAACCACTACAGACAAAATGGGTGCATAAGCAAATGTGGTGAAGAAAGCTGATGGTGGCCAGCTATCAAAAGATATAGTGTCTGGGGTTTTAAAGGCTTGAAGATAAACAAGCAGCCATCTAGCTGAGAAGTAACAAAGCCCATATGGAAGAAGCACACCAGCCCGTGTGATCATGAGGTATCGATGGGATCAGGTATCAAGTATTTAAGACCCAGAGCAAAATCACACCCGATGTGAATAGGGGGTGGGGGTGGGGGTAATAGAGTGGAGACCCAATACCCATCTGTAGACAATTGGACATCCCCTCACAGAGGGGTCACAGGGAAGAGATGAGCCAGTCACGGTGCAGTACAGCACCGATGAAACACACAATTTCCTCTAGTTCTTTGGTGCTTCCTTCCCCCCAACTATCATGACCTCAATTCTACCTTACAAATCAGATTAGACCAGAGCATACACACTACTAAAGATAAGAGCCTGCAACACAAGGAATCCAGGATAGATAAACCTCTCAGGGCCAATAAGGAAAGTAGAGATATCAGGAGGATTAGGGGAGGGTGGGGGAAGAAAGGGGGAATCAATCACAAGGATCTACTAGAATCCTCTCTCGGGGGGACGAATAACAGAAGAACGGGTGAGGGGCAATGGAGGATGATGTAAGATATGAAAATAATAATCTATAACTTATCAAGGGTTCATGAGGGAGGGAGGGCAGGCAGGGGAGGGAGGGGTAAGAAATGGGGAGCTGATATATCAGGGGCTCAAGGGGGAAGAGAATGTTTAGAAAATGATGATGGTGGCATATGTGCAAATGTGCCTGACACATTGGATGAATGTATGGATTGTGATAAGAGATGTAAGAGGTCCCAATAAAAGTATTTTTTAAAAAGGCAAAAAAGTCCTATATGCTGTTATACTTCTTCACTTCTTCACTATTATTGTTTTGCTTTATGTTAAATAGGAAAGAAGGAAAAAAAATCCCGTTCAAAATCTTAGTAAGAGAAGGTGTGAAGAGACTTTTAAGGGTCACAGACAGCAGATTAGTATCACTTTGTGTTAGTAATTTTGAGACTACGTGCATCCTCCAACATTCCTGTACCAGTTTCAAAAGTTAAACTATCTACATTCTTAATCTTATTTGTGGGCACGTGTGTGTGCATGTTTTTATCAATCATACACTTGCTAGTCATTCTGAGCAGTCAGCTTTCCTCTGAGAGGAAGGTAGAGACTTCTGCATTTCTAGGAGTTTATTTTGGTTTGGATTCTTCATGCTGGTTCTGATACTTGACTCAGTAATAAAATCATGTTACCTTTGGAATTTTTTCTCATTTTGTTTATTTGCACACCATGCCTCCAAGTTAGACACTGGGGGGGTGGGGGGGGTATAATGACTGAATGGAGACTTAAACTAAACTAGGCCGTGCTGAGTCCTGCCAAGAAATCTAAGGAAGTTTCTGTCTGTAGTTAACTGATTGGTAGTGTCTGTCTAGAGTGCTGTGTTAAGGACCAGGTGGCTTTGACTCACTCAGCAGGAAAGCACAGTATGGCTAACCAGGGAGGCCTGCCTGAGTGAGAGAGGAGGGCGTGGGGGCACACACGCCACAGGTCACCCACCTATGATGCTTGCACAAGCATCCTTCTCTGTGGTGTCTGCCACTTCAGTTGCTCAAGAAAGTTAAATAATCTTAACACAATCAAAATATACTACAGAATTGCCAATATCAACTAAATCCTTACTAATAATTGTTTTCACTAATTATTCAACTACATGAAGACCTCATCTAACAAGGATCATTTCCGAACTAACATATTAAGAACACAGCTTAGAGATAAGAAGTAAAATAGGGCTCTCAAAAAGAAGCCAAGCTCTTGAAGGTAAACAAGCGGCCATCTAGTTCAGAAGCATCAAAGCCCACATGGAAGAAGCACACCAGCTGGTGTGATCACAAGGTGTTGAAGGGATCAGGTATCAGGCATCAAGAGCAAAAAATCAAATCATTGTGAATGACAGGGAGTGCAGATTGGAGACCCAAGACTCATCTGTAGGCAACTGGACATCCCCTTACAGAAGAGTCGCGGGGAGGAGACGAGCCAGTCAGGGTGCAGTGCAGCAACGATGAAAAATACAACTTTCCTCTAGTTCCTAAATGCTTCCTCCCCTTCTCCTCCCCACCCCCCACCTATCATGATCCCAATTCTACCTTGCAAGTCTGGCTAGACCAGAGGATGTACACTGATATATATAGGAACTGGAAACACAGGGAATCCAGGGCGGATGATCCTTTCAGGACCAGTGGTGTGAGTGGCGATACTGGAAGGGTAGATGGAGGGTGGGTTGGAAAGGGGGAACCGATTACAAGGATCTACATGTGACCTCCTCCCTGGGGGACGGACAACAGAAAAGTGGGTGAAGGAAGATGTCGGACAGTGTAAGATATGACAAAATAATCATTTATAAATTATCGAGGGTTCATGAGGGAGGGGGAGCCAGGAGGGAGGGGAAAAATGAGGAACTGATGCCAAAAGCTTAAGTGGAGAACAAATGTTTTTTGAGGATGAGGGCAATGAATGTAGAAATGTGCTTTACACAATTGATGTATGTACGGATTGTGATAAAAGTTGTATGAGCCCACAATAAAATGATTGGAAAAAAAAGAGAGAAATGATAGGGACACACAGGACCCCCCAAAAAAGAAAGAAGCCAAGCTGAGTTCACTACCCTTCCCTCAAGCCCCGTAGAGTTTGCCTCTACTTGGTGGTTCCCTGTCTATCACTAAAGCAAAACTTCGAAGAGGATTTACAGAGTTAAGAAGTGACATCCAAATAGGAAAAAAGAGGGGGCAGGGGACATGAGATAATGATAGCAAGCAAAGCCAAAAAGTATAAAATGTAAGTACAAAATTCAACAATTCCACAGTTTATGGCACAGTGAAATGGGGAAGACTACAGTCTTCATAATCCTGACAGCTGAATTGTGCTCAACATGTTTAATAGAAAAGGCTACATTTGTCTACTATTAGAAAAAATAGCATCTGGAGGCTTAAAGGATTGTCTCACAATAAGCAGCCAGGTAAGTGAGGAGTGAGCTGAGTC